TACTCACTTCACTCTCTGGATCATTTTTCTACTTGTCCTGTCTCCTATTTTTGTGGTGTCCTTTCTGGTATGTTTGTTTCTGGTTTCCTCTTCTCTCCCCCATCCTAGAGTACTGATTAAACCAATGGATCTAACAGAACTTGCATTATGCAAGTGTCTTGGTTGTATTAAAGGGAGTGAGTGGGTTGAGGATATACCTATTTTGTGCCTGTTGGGAAGTCTTCCTCAGCCCTTGGTGTATCTTAATAGTGATACTTGCCAGTACAGTAACCTTCTGGGGACAAAACAAATATGTTAGCTAATAGAAAAGCTAATGTTGCAGAAAATACAGTACCCAGACTAACTTTAATATTAATATTTAAGATACTTTATTCTTGAACTGTCCCTTCCTTTGCTATCAAGTTCCTCTCATTGCTGTTTGTGTTTGGCAAGAACCCACAGGACATCTGATCCACCCACACGGAGTCTGATCAGTCCTGATATGCTTGTATGCATTGGTTTCTGGTTGTAGCTTGTCCTAAAATGTGTGTAGAAGGCGAGCGTTTTATGGTAACTGTTGTGTACTGCATGAATCTTTGTGAAATTCAGAGGAAAACCCAATTTCAGTGAATGCCAAAAAAAAAAAAAAAAGCAAGTAACTAGCCATTGTTTAAAATTCCAGTGGTGCTATTTCTCTTGTGGCCTTCTAGACTTTTGTTGCCCTAAAATTCCATTTTACTGAAAAACCATATTCCACCTGGATTTTTCTTGACAGGGTTTTTTCTACTTTAAGCCGTTTCTAAATAAAGTTCTGTATTTCAAGAGTGTCATGTCTGCTGGAGTCGTCATGTTCTGGGGATATGATTAGATTAAACAAAGGATCCTGGTATTTTCAGTCTGAAGCTACATAACTTGCAACATTGGCCTTCATCCTCAAATCATAGCTCCATTCCTTGCTCAAATTACTGCTGCATTAATTTTTTCTTGGGGCTCCCCTGAATTCTGTTGGGAGAGAACTTCTTTTGGTATCTTAAGCTTACAGTGAATACAAATCACAATTGGACTGTAGGCTTCCCCTTCCTTTGGTGTAATGTAGTGGTGCAGTGTAACAGCAACATTAGTCTGTTTCTTTGTATCTGACTTGTGAAGTCTAATGCACTGCATTACTAGAACACCAAAGTTAAAAGAATACCATGTTTTTGACCTTAGGTTCTGTCACCAGCCTCTCTGAGCAAACATAATATCTTGTAACTTAGTCGTCTTGTTAAGCTTGCCGTAAATTTCAGTGAGCCAAGCCTTAATGTTAGACTAGAACTAACTAGCTTCTGCAGAAACAAATGCTAATGTGTCATGTCTAGCCTTTTAAAAGTTCTGATAAATCCCCCAAAGTCTTGCCAGTATTCATGTTGGCAAACTTTGGAATGGTCCATCGAGGTCTTAGCTTAAGGAATAGTTATTGATGGCAACAAAACTAGTACTGCAGTGTGAAAGTGCATTGGTAAAACTGGGTTTTGATGCACATAAAATCTTCTCTACCATTACTTATTTGGTATGAGGTCAAAAACTTACTGTCTTTCAACTTCTGATAAGTGTGTACATCATTCTGTTATCCTTTCTGCATACTCAAGGCAAAGTAGCAACATGTGGCTTGTGTGACCTGCCATGGGAAATTACATTTTTAGGCTTTCCACATTTTGTGAAGGGTCAGCTACGTGCTATGGATCATTGTGGTTTCACCTTTGTATCGCAAGATCCCACCTGGTGAGGAGCAAGGATGGATCCAAATTTACCATGACACTAGATGAGTTGCGCTGTGATCAATTTGACCTCTGCTTCTGCCAAAAGCAAACAAATCTCTTATGCTAAAAAGGAAGGAATGATGGGAATCGTAGAAATACTACTGGTGCTCCTTGACTACAAAATTGACCACAACTCAATGTGGAAACTTTGAATCTTGCAAGTCAAAGTCGGTGAAATTTCAGATTGCTGAATCATTCCCTAATATACCAAGAAATGACAAGTCATAAATAGAATTTGGAAATTTATAATACAGGTAACTTATTTACAAGGTTGTATCATAGACTTTTTGGGCAGTCTTTTATAATTTCCTTGCTGGAAAGCAGATAACCAGAATAAACTTAAAACTCAAGTGACTGCTCTGACCTGGTACAGCATTGGCTGATAGATGTTAAGTGCTTTTCTGCTGGAATGACTATTTCAGAAAACAACCTTTCTTAGATTTAGTTTTATCGGTTATCTGAAACAAAATGGAACAACCAAAAGCTTATATCTGTCTTTCTGTACCCAGGGTGTCTTACAGGTGTGCACTCAGATTTTTTAACTTAATTGTTCAATCTTTTCAAAATTCCTGGTTTGCAATGACAATTCTTACTGTAACTGTTAAAAGGCTCCAAATAAAAGCCAAGAATTTACATCACTCATTTGTCTATTAATATTTAATGTGACCACTGTTGCACTGACAAATGATATCCTGTTTTTGCTTTTGATGTTAGCACACACGACACATTTATAGAATTGGCTGAAATTGAACTAGTACTTGGGGGTCCTCATAGCCTGGTGATTTGAGCACTGCTGGGAGCTAGGAAGTAGTTCTGATCATAGCTCTCTCCCGCCTCTACTGTGCTTACTACGATGGGGCTATATCTCAGAGGGTTTGAGGATGAGCTGGGAATTGTTTATACAGTGCTCTGACTAAACTGGGTCCTGAAGACTTACATAATTCTAAAGAAAAATGGCACTATGCAATGCTCTATGAATTACTGAGCTTAGTAATGAAAATTATGCAGCTATTCCCATCATTACTGTAAACAGCTCATCTACACTTGTGCAATTAAGAACCTTAGCCTGTTGTGCAGGAAACTCTTAAACTGTAGTCAGATTGCTTCTACAGCACTGAAGACATAATGTGTAAGTACTGAAGTCTTCTAATACTACCCACGCATGGTCTGCAATACATCTACTCTGGCAGAATAGGGCTCTTAAACAGATGCCTGCCATGTGGATTATAGTCTTGTGATATGGAGCAGAGGGTGACAGCAGCCCACCTAGTCATTGTAAGATAAATTCCTACTGCATTTCTGTTAAGAGGGTGCCAGTCCCTTGTTTTTGGAAATTGCTTGACTTTCCAGAGCAGCTTCATTGTATAGTTACAAAAGATGGCAGCAGTTTGTATGTAACTAGGAGCAAACTGAAGTCTTAAATGTCAGAGACCTAAACAAACTGTGATGTGGGTTCCAGAGCAGCATAGCTTAGATGTGATGCTTTCAGCTTAGAATTGCCAGGTATGAAATCATGGCTGAGGGTTTTTTTTCCTTTTCTCTTGCTGCTTTTTCTTACAAGTTGGGTGGTATAATTGATTCAAAGATTATTCTCAGAGTTCCATCTTCGAAAGATATCTGCAAAGGGAAAAATTAAGTTCATCTTTGGGTTTTGACATATGAAGATTCGGAAGGACTTAAAAACCTGAGCTCTTATCCAGATAAATTATCTGTTGGTGGAGGATCCCTAGCGGCCTGTATGCATTCTACTGCTTTTCTCCCTTCCCTGGTTATAGGACTCTTCTCATGATTAGTGCAGTGTCTGTGTCTTGTTCTCCCCATGTTATGGTGGAAGAGCTTTATGAAAGGTGGTGGTCTAGCAACACCTCTTGCTCATTAACAATTCCTGTGAAGTTAGGATGGGAATTCTTTGGGATGGGAGATAGGACTGGTGCTTGGGGGCCCATGATTGGCTTCTGCAGCCACTTGTTTTATTAGATGGGGGTAGTTTCTGCCAGCTGTGATGACTGAATAGTTCTTTGCTTCCTTTACCATGGTGGCATATTCCTATGAAAAGCCTTTGTGCTGTTATTGGATGGGTTCAGGGCATACTTTGTCCCCCTGACATCCTCGCTTTCTTTTTATGGGCTTCACCAAGGTTCACTATTGAGAATCAGGAAATGATCTTCCTGTCCTGAGAGGGGGAAGCTTGATGTTAGTGGTCATCTGGTGATCCTACTGTTCTATTGACTTGTTAGCCCTTTGGTCTCACAGCTGGGCAGTTTTCCTTCCTAGTGTGTGTTGAAAACTTAGGATAAAACACTTACACAGACCAGTCGGCTTTAGGGGTTCATTCATAAGAATGGTCTGACCCAGTATGCCCAATGGTCCGTGTAGCCCATTATCCTGTCTTCTGACAGTGGCCGGTGCCAGATGCTTCACAGGGAATGAACAAAACATGGACATTCAATAGAGTGATCCATCCCCTGTCACCCAGTCTCAGCTTCTGGCAAACAGAGGTTATGGACACTATCCCTGCCCATCCTGGCTAATAGCCAGTGATGGACCTATCCTCCATGAATTTCAGTTCTTTTTTCGAACCCTGTTATAGTCTTGGCCTTCACAATATCCTCTGGCAAAGAGTTCCACAGGTTGACTGCGTTGTGTGAAGAAATACTTCCTTTTGTTCGTTTTAAACCTATTAATTTCATTTGGTGACCCTAGTTCTTGTGTTATGCAAATGAGTAAATAACACTTGTTTACTTTCTCCACACCAGTCATGATTTTATTAGACCTCAATCATATCCCCCCTTAGCAGTCTCTTTTCCAAGCTGAAAAGTCCCAGTCTTATTAATCTCTCCTCATATAGAGAGATTCCATACCTCTAATCATTTTTGTTGCCCTTTTCTGAACCTTTTCCAATTCCAATATATCTGCATGCAGTATTCAAGATGTAGGAGTATCATGGATTTATATAGAGGCAATAAGATATGTCTTATCTATCCCTTTCTTAAGGATGCCCAACTTTCTGCTTGCCTTTTTGACGGCTGCTCCACAGTGAGTGGATGTTTTCAGAGAACTATCCACAATGATGCCAAAATCTTTCTTGAGTGGTAACAGCTAATTTAGACCCCATCATTTTATATGTATAGCTGAGATTGTTTTCCAATGTATGTTCTCTGCACCTATCAACTTTGAATTTCATCTGCCGTTTTGTTGCCAAGTCACCCAGTTTCATGAGATCCCTTTGTAACTCTTTGCAGTCAGCAACTACTCAAGATAGTAGTTTTGTATCATCTGTAAACTTTGCCACCTTACTCTTTACCTCCTTTCCCAGATCATGTATGAATATGTTGAACAGTATATTCTCCAGTTGGGATGGGTGAAGACCTTGGTATTTGGTGGTTGTAGCTGGAAAGTGGGATATGTGTGATGTCCTCAATAGCAATACCTACCAAAAATTGGAGAGACCCCGGGTAAAACCTATAGCTTTCATATTAGACAAGGGAATGGGAGGTTTAAAACTCATTTTGGATACCCCTACTTCACTCAAATAGCTGAATTAATAGTTGGAAGAAAAAAATTATTTGTGGAAAGGATCTGGGTGTTGAATCTTTATCTAGAGGCTAAGAACTTCCAAGGCACAAGTCGGTGTTGTCCGAGAGAGGCTTCAACCCAAACAGGTACAAAGCTAAATTTGACCTTCCTGATATTACTAAGGTGAAGGGAAAACCCCTTTGTTTAAGGTTGAAGCAGCCACCTTATTTCTACATCGTATAGAAGTAAAATATTAGCACAAACCCATTCTTTGCCTGCAGGCCATCGTGACGTGATCTGGAAGACGCTGGTGTTTGTCAGAAGACATGCTTGTCTCTTTAAAGCAATTTTTTCTCAGTCATTTAGTAAGCTTGGCTAGCTTTCAGACAGCAGCCTTTTAAAAATCTGTGTCTGACCTGTCAGGAAATGTAGAAAACAGGAACTGAGGGTGCTTTTCTGAGGTCTGCAAGAAATTTCAGCAAGGCCCCGGAAGAGTGATGTCCATTTGCAAAGTAGCTTCATAAACTGGTTGCCTCTTAATCTTTCAGGATCTCTGTGAATCTACTGCTGTTCTAATGGGAGCTACAAGAAGAGTTATCCAGGAAGCTTTAAATAATGTGGGATTATATTAACATAAATCTCAATATAATCTCAACTTCATGATTCAATATATTCTATCAAATAAACAAGCAGCAGGTTGGCCTAAAATGGAGGAACAATTGAGATGAGATCATCTCAACAAATCTAAAGACAAACCTCATTTCAGCTTGGTTTTCTCCCAATCATCCCGCCACTGGGAGGTGAGGGGCGGGTTTAATGACACAGACCAATGGGAGTCCTGACACTGGATCCGTTGCAGAGACTGCTCTCCTAGCAGCCCTTGAAAAGAGCAGGAAAAGGAAATCCCTGGAAATGGCCTCTGCCATGTTCCTCTCTTGTGTTCTATGGATCCTTTGTAGAGCCCCTGCGTCAAGTCATCTCTGGTGCATACGTGCGCAGGTGTGTGCTCCTTACGGAGCAATGGAAGAGGAATTCCCTCTCCCCATCCAGCTGCTTTGAGGGAGAGGGATAGAGATGGGCTGCTCGGTGGCTTCTTGGCATGGAGACCTCCATCCAGTCTCTCTAACGAAGAGGACCCCTTCCAACAGAGACTGGGGAAAGCAGTCTGCCTGAAGTTCTGTGGATGAAGTCACAAATCCAAAGGTGACATCATAGTTGAGTCTGTTGATGGCCTTGGGCTGGCAGTCCCCAGTGGATACACAGCAGGAACAGGGAGAATGTCTACTTCTGAGAAACTGAGCAGCTGTTTGATGGGCTCAGAGACTCATAGGATCAGTGTTCATCCCTCTGTGGCATGGTGAGTGATGAAAGACAGGACACCCAAGGAACTTTGCTTTTCACAATACTTAGTTAATTTATTGCTGCTTCTCTGAGTCACCCTCCAGTATAGTAACCCCTTCTATTAATCAAGCCTTCCTCCTTGCTAGGATGATATAGTGAGTTAGCGTGTAAGTGCATTGAAATTCTCTCCTAATTTCCCCATCTGTAAAATGGGAATAAAAATGTCTCTACCTTCTTGGACATTGTAAGGGTTAAATCGAACTTGTAAAACAATAAGGACCTGCACATGCAGCTCCCATTGACTTTAGCTGGACTTTCTGCATATGTCTGAAAATCAGGCCTTAAATAACTTCAATTCAAGGTGCTTAGCACCTTTTATGTCAAACCCTTCCATAGCTACCAGGATGTGAGTTCAGGATTACATAGCTCCGCAGTAAGAACTACTGACATCGTAGTACCTAAAGCAGTATAGAGAGTGTCGTGTCCTACTTCAGGTTACGCTAATTTATACTGGAATTACTTTAATACAAATATTAATACCTGAATAGCCATTTTAAGGGTTGAAAGACTTGCAGCCTTATTAATGATTACAATCTCTCTCCCACCCCCAAAGCAAATACAGCTACATTTTATCTGTTTGAAATTTCAGGGTAGACAACGATTCTGAAGATGAAGGAAGCCTTAAACAGTATCAAATGGGGCAAAAGGTAAATGAGCAGTGATGGTATTGATGGACACAGTGTTATATGGAAAAGGGCTGTTATCAGATGTTCCTAAAATGCAAATGGAGCAGGATTGTTGTGGTGATATTTTCTTAACTGTACACTGTATTTTCTTAACTGTGGAAGGTTAAATCATACAATATCAGGGCTGGAAGGGAATGGTTTCCTGCTTTTAAACCCCAATGTGCCCAGTTCATCTCGGCTTTGGGGCTAAACTCTGTGCCGTTGCTGAGCGGGTGCAGGGAATGTTGGTTTGATGCTTATTTTGCGCCTTTCCTCTCCTGGACCAGCGAGGGGCTTATTCAGCTCGCAGCACAGATTGAAACAGCCTGAGTGCTGGGCTGATTTGCACCCAGTTTGCCTGTGACAAATGGGCCAGTGTAGCAACTGGGAATCGACAGCGCTTAGCCATGCCTGCTTGTTTCTGGGATTGCCTTTGCCATGTCCCTTGTGCCAGGGTCTCCTGCTGAGAACGGCAGAGAGCTAGCGATGCCAGTTGTACCCCAGCCAACGAAGCCCTCTATGTAAAGTAATTGCTTGGTGGCAGCTATAAATTGGGTCCTGTATTTCTTAAGTGATTTAAAATTAATGATATTGTAGTAATGAAATGGGGCTTAAGTGAGAGTTGTGGTGCATAAGACCTTGTGTGGAGCTTCTGCACTGTCATGGATTTACCCCTGTTGAAGTCTGTGGGGCTACTATCAATAGTGAGGACTACTTCCATGAACAAGTGTTTCCAGAACTGGACCTTCAGTTTCTAAGGTCTTCTGGGCAGGGGCCAGTTCTCTGCTTATCTGTATACGCTCTCATAAGGTTACTGCTTATAAGATGTTTACTATCTTCCTGCTCTTGCCCCATTTATATAAGACCTGAGTAAAGAGGGCTCTCTTAGGTGTAATAAAAGCTCTGCACATGCTGTGCTTGATCCTAACTGTTTTTTCAGCTCACTGGACTTCTGAGCAAATCTGTCTCGAGCTGCTCATCTCCCAAACAAATACTGAAGTTCCCAGAATCCACTGATACCTCCCGTGCACAGCAAGTTGAGGACCAGATCAATTATGAGCATTTGCAAAAATTGGAGCGATCGTTCCGGGAAGCGGACTTAGACAAGGGTGGAGGTGATGATGCAGCATTTCCCAAAGCATTTCAGTTTCTAGATAACTGTGCTCTTTTGGTCACTTTTTTTAGTTTCATAGCTATCTCTGTTGCTGTTACGAAGCATGCAGTCTACACAACGGCATCCACCAGAATTAGTCCCTTCAAGCTTCATCAGTTACTTTGGACCTGCTTTTTTCCACTGAAGAGGTCTCCAGCTTACCTCTCACAGCGAGTCTATATCACCCATTCTTTGTGATAACTTTGGGTTTCTGTCTGGTGAAGCAGACACAGATTTCCTCTTCCTCAATTGTTAGATGTAGGTTTGTGTCCCATAGTTCTATGGTACAGAAGTCAAGCTTAATATTCAGGAAGCCAAGAGAACAAATTTACCACTCTAAACCAAACCTAATTAGAAACAGGGTAAAATCACATATTGTAATAATGACACTAATACTTCCATAGCATCTTCCAGCTGAGAATCTTGATTTCTTTATGAGCATAAGTTAAGCCTCGCATTGCTCCAAGTTCTGACTCAGGTTTAGACACTCTAGGAAAATCTTAGTTAGGGGCCCCTGTTCAAAAATCTGTTTGCCTAGGACCAGACTTTCAAAGAAGTTCTGCATTTATTAGGTGCCTACCAGTGTGCACAACTACTGCAGATGTGCATGCAGATTGGGAAATTGCATATGTAAACAGCTAATTTATAAGCATTTGTACACATCAATGTGTTACAATTTATTGCAACTGTGTAAGTGTGAGCAAGTTAGATACCCAATTGCGTGCGTTTTTTTGTATGCACAAATTATCGAGAAATCTGCCCCCATTGTGTTTTTTGGGAGATTGCTTTTCATGCTTAATTGCCATTTTGATGTGCTCTGTGCATTCAATAGACATAATTATCTGGAAAAGTTTAGGGCTGAATATACTGTGCTTATTCTCCCAGGGCTGGATCTTAAGGAGTTCCGCAAGGCAATGAAGAAGATAATGGACAATATTACGGAAGAAGATATTGATATCATATTTATGAAAATTGACACTGATTGTGATGGCTCCGTGGGCTGGGTAATATTGTGCTCTAATGAAAGAGAATGGTGGTTGTGTAGCAGTTGCAAAAATTTCCTGATTTTTATTTACCTTGGTTTAATGTTGGGGGAAGGCAGTGTTTCCTGCTATTTCTGTTATCTTTGCCATAGTTCTTGCTGTATCTGTCAGCACCATAGAACTTGAGATAATTAATTCTGCTCTCCTTTTTATACGGTGCTGATGAAATTGTTCTCTCTCACAGGAAGAATATCTGAACTATATATTGCGAGAGTACAGAGGAAAGGATGACATGCTGAAAAGCAAATCTCCTCTGCTATTTCAGACACCCATGAAAATCATTCCAATGTAAGCTCTTAGCCATTACTGTCTGAGGAGGAGTGATCCACATTAAAGCTGCTTGTATTTGTCTTCCAGTTTAGTGTTCTTGTGACAGCCTAGCTGCGAAAAATGTCTTTTTTTAAAATCAGGTATTTAACAGCAAATGGCAAACATGTGCATCTTCCCATATGAAATTGGCTTAATAAACTAGCCTCTAATCATTTAAGGAACAACCTCTATTAAAGATTATAGCGTAGGTGAAATGGCTGCTTGAGATGAATTCCCGTCAGTATTTAATCAGTCTCAGTAGGATATTGTGAGTATAACTAGGGCCGCATTAGCTTATTGCTGTTATAGCAACAAACCTGAACATGAGAAACGACAACCCTCCCTTCTCTGGGGGTCACTTAAAAGTGAGGAGTTGCTTCTTTCTCAGACCGGCCGGTGTGATACCACTTGGGGTTGGTGCTATGATGAATAACTGAGAGCGAGTGTGGTGAAATATGGTTAACTTCTCTTGCATGCTTGCTTCTGACTTAATTTTGTTTGAACTCAAATCCTCTCCAGCCCAGCCAAAACTCTCCCCCCAGCCAATGCATCCCCTTTCCTTCCTACCTGGATAGAGCCTGGGAATAGATGAGCTTTGCAGCATGAACTGAAGGCTAGCAAATTCTGGGGAAGCATGCTCCGGAGCCATGGAGACTCTGGGCTGACTTCAGTTTCTAGGGTGTTAAATAAAGGGACAGGTGGCCTGTTGTTGTCCAGGCCTCTCAGAAATGGGTGCACTGTAAGTACTTCAGTCATAGTGTCTCTTCTGATCTTAAACCTATGATCATCTAGTCTGTCCTGTCTAATACAAGGGTTTTCAAGCTGCACGCAAAGGCTCAGCCCATCTGAACTAACAGTTTGTGGCCAGCTTGAAAAAAACATCCCATGTGATGTGTCCGGGTTTCAACTTATTTCCACACAGGCCAGTCCCTCCGACAGGTATTTTCTTCTCTGTATGTGCTGTAATGTGTCTTTGTGCTAAGGGGTTGGAGACATCACAGCGTGAACACCAGCAACCTTATAACCTCCCTTGGTGAGGCTGAGACTGACTTAACTTACATCAAAAACTCCTAAGCTCGGGGGACCTGAGTTTCTAATTTCTGCGAAGTGCTTTCAGTCCTTGTTTGCCCACCTGCTCCATTCCTGCCCTCTTACAGGCCTACCTTACCCTTCTGCTTCCTGACCGTTCTGCTCTATTTCTCCTATCTCACTCCTCTCCCTTGCTCAGGAGCCAAGGCCAGGAAATCATCAAGGTGCAGTTTTTCCCAAGCCAGGGCCGGGCAAGGGACAGGGATGAAAAGGCCAAGAAAAGTAGCGGTTGGAATCTGTCAGGGCGATTCCTGACGGTCAGCAGGGATGGAATCTTACTCTACTGGAGTGACACGTTCAAACTGCTCCGCACTGTCCAGGTACATGGCTCGTGAACCTGATGGAAATGAAGGGCTAGATTCTCTCTAATCCACATAATGCAGGGCTCTCAACCTTTCCCAGACCATGACACCCTCCCATTTAGCCATCTAGAAACGAGGTCGATGTGGCCTCCCGGGGAGTCTCAACCCATGCCCTCATGGAGCTTGTATTCACAGTGCCGATGTCTCCTTTGCGTATGTAGTGCTCATTCTGCATGGGTGACATCCCATTGCCATGAGTGGCGATTCCACAAGCGTGGGTGCATCACAGAGCCCCCGCCCCACTGCAGATGAGACCCACAGCGTGGCTCGGAGGGGAGAGTTTTGCCCATCGTATGAAGTATTTCTAAATCACCAAATCACTTTAGTCAGTGGAGAGGCAGTGCTGTGCTATGCTGGACACGGCTAGCACTGAGGGTGGGGTCAAAGCCTTCTCTTCTGGATTGTCAGCACTCTCAACAAACCTAATATTGAGGGCATATAAGGGGAAAATGTACTGTTTCTCATGGAAGGGATATTGCTCACTAATTTCCCTGGAGAATCTCTTCTTTCTATCATTTCAGCAGTAAAACTCCTCCTGTTTAAAAATAAGTGCTGGTCTGGAGCTCTCATTCAGGGTGGAAAATACCAGAGTTGCTGCTAACCTAAGGGGAAATTCTCCTCAGGTCAGACAGCGAGCCCAAGGCCTATGCATTGCTTACATCCTGCTTAAGCCTGATGCACGGTAGTGCTTTATTACATGAGCTTTGAGTGGGATTTGCAACTACTTTGTGGTTACTTGATTTTCAATGTATGTTTCCTCTTCTGTGTAGCTTGACCAGTCTGGACGACGGCCCAGTCAGCAGATGTGGGTCACTGACATGGTGTGTCTGTCTAATATCAACCTGTTGGCGATAGCATCTACTGATCAGATTATTGGTAAATAGAGACAAATCATTCCCCATTGTGAAGATCTGGACCCTATCCTGCACCACTGATGTTAATGGAAGCCTTGCCATTGACTGAAGTGAGCATAAGGTCCTGCTATGTATGGACGTAGTAGTGTTGGTCAGTTGAATACCTGTTCAGCAACAGGCATGTTTGCATGGCAGAATGTCTAAATAAACACACATGCATGTGACAGGTTCAAAAGGTCTATCTTTGCATGAACACCAAACATCAAGATGTTGATGCTAATTTTGAGATTCATGGGATTTCTCTTTTTTCTGTTGCACAGAATTCTTTGATATCAGTGGCAACAAATGTGACAGGCTCTTTTCCCTCATTGAGCTTGACAGCTGTGTTACGGCCTTGGATTACTGGTAGGTTACCTGCTTCTCCAAAGAGGCTGTTACCGATTTTAAAATACCTAGATACTCGCATCACAGACCCAAGGCTCCTCTGCTGTGCAGGGTACTCGAGAAATGAGTTACACTATATTGTAATGAACTGGGGGATGTTCATGTGCACAGATACCCTCTACCGGCTGGAGAGAGAATTGCTCACTGAATCACAGCCCCTGTACTGGCTAGCACTTAAAGGCCATGGATCTGTGCTCTTTGGAGTAGAAGAGATCTGAGTTCTAGATCTACTGCTGCTGTGAAGCTCTGAGTGGCCACCGTATATATTGTAGAGACAATGGCAAGTTGTGAGATGCCACAGATTTGTCACCTACATTCTCTTACTTTACATAGTGAGACTCTCTCCTTTTCTATTTTCTTACTAAATAGTGTAGTGACAGGAGTTTAGGGATGTTCAACCCTCTTCTTTTGTTTTTTACACACACCTTCAACTTCTCATGAATCTTCTTAAAAACAAGAATGTGTTTTGCAAGGGGCATATGTTTTGTGTAGCTCATCCAGTAGGCGTGACACTTCTATGTCCCTCCAAGAACTCCCAGAGGACTCAATGTCACTGTCTCTGGTATACTGCTTGTGCTGTTATGTATGTCAAGAGGACAGTGAATATCATGGACAGAGAATTATTCTTGAATGTTTTTCTTTTAGTTGCTCATGGGACTTCAATGAACATTGGAGTCTACCAAAAAACATGGCCAAGTGGAAAATCTATTGAATCCTCCTCCCTCTTCCCCATATTTAGGTTGCCTGGGTGTAGTGTTATCACTGGATAATTGCTGGAGTCTGTTTTAGGATATGTATCCTTAAAACTTTGTCAAGGGGGCTGAGTTTGGGATGATCAGTTCTATTAATTCAAATTCATGCTTATAATAAATAAATACTGTTGTATCTGAATTGCAGCTGTGTATAATAGAGCAACATTTCAGCTTTCAGATACTACCTAGAAAAAAAATTTCAGCCAATGTTAAAAAAGCTGCTTCCAGAGAGACGACAGGCCCTCCTTCCTACATCTGTCTTGTGCCAAGTGTACAGCTCTGGTATTTAGGTGTTCACTTTCCAAAGATGAGTTCTCAAATAGGCTCTCCAGATCCTGCCTATGAATGCTAATTTTGACACTTAGGTGTAAGAATGGTGTTTACTACATGTGTCTGTGAGCCAATCGGAACACACGTGTTCAGTTAAGCTGGCCCTGTTTGAAAACTGGGTATCTATTTGTGACCCCCCCCTAGCATTCTAGTTTAATACTTGCCTGAAATGGCAATGTACATGGGGTCTGATCTGTTTTCTTTCCTTTCTCCCTGAGTCAGGACAGATGGGTACAAAGGAGTATTTTGTGTTGGCGATGTGAAAGGAAACATTCTGATCTTCACCTCGCTGGACGTTCTAGCAAATGGGATCTTCAACGTCCGTCACTATATAACTAAGCCAGGTACAGATACTTTATAGCTATGCTTGGACCAGCACATGTTCTCCTGTCTGGTATTACTGGGGAGATGAGCGAGGACTGAGCATTTATCTGAATTGCCCTTCCTGGAAGAAGAGCAAGTGTTACCCATTTTACAAACACAGTGGTATTATGAGACTGACTTTGAGATTTTATTGACTTCAGAGAGCTGCCAGGTGCTTCGCCCCTCTGAAAATGGCACTCTCCACGACTCGTCCAAAGTCTCACAGGGTCGGGGTAGAATCCAGGAGTCCTGGCCCTCAGGTCTCTACTTGCTCCTTAACCATCCTGATTCCCTAAGCAGGGCTAGATCCAAAGCACCTTGGTTTTGGTGTTGAAAAAACGAACTCTGTTGCAGGTTTTGCAAAACCAGAATCATCCCTGTTCCTCGGTGTCTGTCCTGATGCACCACTTTTTCTAGTCTCTAGGTAATTGTGAATGATTACTGTTAAGATCATACAATCGTAGGACTGGAAGGGACCTTGAGAAGTCATCTAGTCCAGTCCCCTGCATCCATGGCAGGACTAAGTATTATCTAGACCATCCCTGGCAGGTGTTTGTCCAACCTGCTCTTAAAAATCTCCAGTGATGAAGATTCCACAACCTCCCTAGGTAATTTATTCCAGTGCTTAACTACCCTGACAGGAAATTTTCCCGAATATCCAACCTAAACCTCCCTTGCTGCAATTTAAGCCCATTGCTTCCTGTCCTATTCTCTCAGGTTAAGAAAAATCATTTTTCTCCCTCCTCCTCATAACAACCTTTTATGTATTTAAACTGTTATCATGTCCCCCCTCAGTCTTCTCTTTTCCAGACTAAACAAACCCAATGTTTTCAATCTTCCCTCATAGGTCATGTTTTCTAGACCTTTAATCATTTTTGTCGCTCTTCTCTGGATTCTCACCAATTTGTCCACATCCTTCCTGAAATGTGGTGCCCAGGACTGGACACCATACTCCAGTTGAGGCCTAACCAGCGCAGAGTAGAGTGGATGAATTACTTCTTGTGTCTTGCTTACAACACTCCTGCTAATACATCCCAGAACTATGTTCTCTTTTTTTGCAACAGCGTTACACTGTTGACTCATATTTAGCTTGTGGTTCACTATAACCCCCAGATCCCTTTCTTCCTAGGCAGTCATTTCCCATTTTGTATTGAATTTCATCCTATTTACTTCGGACCATTTCTCCAGTTTGTCCAGATCATTTTGAATTTTAATCCTATCCTCCAAAGCACTTGCAACCCCTCCCAGCTTGGTATCGTCTGCAAACTTTATAAGTGTACTCTCTATGCCATTATCTAAATCATTGATGAAGATATTGAACAGAACCAGACCTAGAACTGATCCCACTCGTTATGCCCTTCCAGCATGACTGTGAACAACTAATTACTCTCTGGGAATGGTTTTCCAACCAGTTTTGCACCCACCTTATAGTAGCTCCATCGAGGTTGCATTTCCCTAGTTTGTCTATGAGAAGGTCATGTGAGACCGTATCAGAAGCTTTACTAAAGTCAAGCTATACCACATCTACTGCTTCGCCCCATCCACAAGGCTTGTTACCCTGTCAAAGAAAGCGATCAGGTTGGTTTGACACTACAGTATTTGTTTTTGACAAATCCATACTGTTACTTATCACCTTATTCTCTTCTAGACATTTGCAAATTGATTGCTTAATTATTTACTCCATTATCTTTCTGGGTACAGAAGTTAAGCTGACTGGTCTGTAATTCCCCAAGTTGTCCTAATTTCTCTTTTTATAGATGGGCACTGTATTTGCCCTTTTCCAGTCTTCTGGAATGTCTCCTATCTTCCATGACTTTTCAAAGATAATTGCTAATGGCTCAGATATCTCATCAGTCGGCTCCTTGCGTATTCTAGGATGCATTTCATAGTAATAGGAGTTGAAGACATCTAATTTGTCCAAGTAATTTTTAACTTGTTCTTTCCCTATTTTAGCTTCTTCTGATCCTACCTCATTCACGATGTTAGACACCCAATCACCACCAACTTTCTCGGTGAAAACTGAAACAAAAGTCATTAAGCACCTCTGCCATTTCCACATTTTCTGTTATTCCCCCCCCCCCCCCGCATTGAGGAACAGGCCTACCCTGTCCTTGGTCTTCCTCTTGCTTCTAAAGTATTTGTAGAATGTTTTCTTTTTACCTTTTATGTCTCTAGCTAGTTTGATCGCGTTTTATGCCTTGGCCTTTCTAATTTTGTCCCTACATACTTGTGTTATGTGTTTATATTCATCCTTTGTAATTTGACGTAGTTTCCGCTTTTTGTTGGACTCTTTTTTGATTTTAGATCATTGAAGATTTCCTGGTTAAGCCAGGGTGGTCTCTTGCCATACTTCCGTGACCCAGCCTCCTTCCCCACTACCACGGAGGCCATTTACACCCGAATCCTGCAGTGGGGAAGGAACTGAGGGGCAGTTGGGCCTGCTCCACCCTTACGCCTTTGGTAAGGGAGCATGAGGACACTTAGGCACATGTGGTCCCAGTGAATGCTGATGGCCGAAAGACTGATCTCAAGCGCGTGGGCATATGCGCTCCAAGAGCGGAATGTACATAGATGACACATCTCAGAGGGCCAGTTATAGTAACATAAGTAACTTTTTTTTTCTTTTTTGTCCATCTTTGTTTGAAACACAAATGGGGCCAAATTGGAACCATTTCTCTGAACATCTGTGAACTTTGAGGGGTTGGATAAAATGCGACCTCGATCCAAATCCTCATCTTTTATCTCCTATCCTGTTTGAATGCATTTGATAATATTTCTCCTAAGCCTAGATTGTAGCTAACACTTTAAACCTTTTAGTGCCATGCTTGTGTGTCGACATTTAAGGTGGATCTATGAAAATATCACCTAATCCTTCCAGGCGTTAATGAATGTCCCTTGTGACTAGCTATCCTGTACACTATATAGCCTAGGTCACGCATGGGGTTTAGGCTACTATGATTGCCTTAGGTACACTTCAGCACAATTAAAACAACTTCTTTTGAGAAATGTGGCAAGTGTTTGGTCAGGATTAATATATGGCTTTTCTCCCTCAGGTGTCTTAGCCAGAATCCCAGTGCATCTTCTCCTGAAAGGAAAGGCCAGCCTATACAGAAATTTCCGAGTGCCGGTGAGTTTCTCTGTCTAAAGATACATTTTGGCACAAACCCCACTCCTATTTAGATTCCTGTTGCCCCCCTATCCTGAAGAAAGTTGGGGAAAGTTGATATTTATTAAATTACAAACTAAAAAACTCAAAAGCAATTATGTACAATGTCTATCAGAATTGTCTCTTTCCCACAGCCTCTGTATGTTGTTCGCCTTCTTAATCTGTAAGCTCTTTGGGGCAGAGGCCTCATCTACCTGTGTGTGTGCAGCACCTGGCACAGTGGGGTTTCTGGTGCTGCCATAATACAGATATTACTAATAATAGGTCTGTGGGATGCCCACTGCTCTCATTCCTTCCATCTTCTTACATAAAAAGGAAAAGTGAACTTTACTGCTGATGCTCGTAGACCAAGAACTGCGGCCTTTCAGAGTGTGTCTACGCTGAGCAGCAGCTCACAGTGGTAAGTCTCAGAGCCCAGGTCTACAGAGTCCGGCGTGCCAGGTTTTCCCTATAGCATTAAAAATGGCTGTATAAATGTTGCTGCTTGGGCTGGAGCTCAGACTCTTTAGCCTAAGGAAGGGGGTGGGCGTCAGAGCCTGAACTCTTACACAGCTATTCTTAGTGCTGTAATGCAAGTTTGGGGAGTCCGAAGCTGGGTTCTGGGCCCTGCTGCCGCTCCCTGTGCCGACTCAGCGTCGGGGTGGAGTATGGGCTGCGGAGTGCCACGGGGGGCTGCACTGTCTACACATCCTGAAGGCAGGCTCTGCAAACCAAAATGACTTACATGTGGGTCGGTTTGTATCGTTCCATCAGCCAGCCATTCACGATCTTGCAGCTCAGCAAGCAGCCAATTCAGACCGTTCTGGATGGCAGTAGGGGGGTTGTGGGTCTCTCCCTGTCAGTCGCTGTAATGCTCCTAGAGCGGCTCTGTTCGGAGGTGGGTGGGTGGGGAATTAGCCAACAGTTAATAGGCTCTGGCTTTCAGGCCAGGTAGCAGTTGGGTCTGGTAGCCCTGACATTCAGCCAGAGCGGGACAGCACATAGTTAATGGGTCTGGCCCGCAGTTGGGCGTGGTAGTGGCACATCTCTAGGCCTGGCACCTTCAATCAGGACAGGGTCGTAATCAGTGGAAGGGCTTTGGCCTGCTGTCAGGCAGAGCAACTCAGCAGTCTAGGGAAAGATTAGCTCTCTGATGGGAGAGTCAGCAAAACCATCTGGCGTCCTAGCTCGGCGTGGGTGTCAGACCAATGCAGGCCTCTTGGCCTAAAGGTGGGGAGGCTGCCACCCCTGACGGTGGAGTGGCAGGGGGTAGAGGGACTCAGGACCACCCACTCCACTGCATCCCAGCCCAGGGCCCTAACAGCGATGGAGTGGTCTGCCACTGGGTCAGCGGGGAAATCTGTCCACAACACCCTGACCAGCTTGCAGTGAGTCACACAGCTGAACACTATACAGCTTCTCTGGGCTCCTTCCTACACTCCCAGTCCGGGGGTACCTGGTTCTGGGGTCATCGTTCGCCTCGCGGGGGTAGACAGCTAGTGGCAGTCCCAACAGCTCCTCAGTGTCCCCGACGTCTGGCAGCTCCTCCAGGTCTCTGGCAGTACGGCAGCCGGGCTCCAGCAGCGGGGGGAGACGTCCTGCTCCTCTGGCAGCTCTGTCCCAACTGAGCTGGAGGGCCGGCCTTTTCTAGTTCCGGTTCCTATCCCGCCCCTCTGCTTCCGGTGGGGCGGCCGCGGGTGTCCCGGTTCTGCCCACCAAGGGGCGGTCGTGGGTCTCTCCCCATCAATCAGAGGGGGAGACCATGTCCCCTCGCTACAATGGCTAATGCACATTCAAAGCCCCACTGCTCCCTGGATACCAGAAGAGACTTGTCTATAAGAATCCTGGTCTGAACCCTCTCAATCCCCATGTCCAAGTCATGACCCTCTTCACGTTTCTTGATGTGCATAATGACCCATCTCCTCTTAACTCAAAACTGCACTTATCCAATCAAATACCATGCCCTTTCCCTTTTCGGGGTTCTGCTGTGTGTCACCCTAATGTTTCTCTTCTCCCTCTTTCTGCTGCCTCTGCTCCTTGTCCCACTTTTCCTGTGTTTATTGTTCCTCAGCTTCACATTTCACTCTGTTTTTCACTGGCGTTTTTCTGTCGTCTTCAAACTGTACATGAACCCCGGCATGTCGGAATGGGAGTGGCACTGCTGAGCCCCCACTGACGAAGAATGAACTCCCTGTGCTCTTGTTTATGACCTGCAGTATCATTAAGCAAAGTCTTTCCTCTCTCTTCCAGGCTCTCCATGGGGACTGGTGCCACCAGATAAAATTCATTCCTCAGCTCAATCTTGTTGCCTCCTGCTCAGCAGCTGATAAGAGAGCCATGGTGTTTACTTCACTTCCACTACATATCATGGGTAAACCCCAGTAAGACAGGTCTCTTTGTCTGTTCTGTAAATTATCCATCACACAATGGTAGCAGGCAATGTTGCAGTTCTCTTCAAATTCCATTTCCTCCAGGAAAATCCTGTTGGGACTCAAATTTCAGGGGGGGCTCAGGAAACCTAAATTACAGAAAGTGGGTAAAGGGGCCCATAATTGACACACTTCAGTGGCCTGTAAATAGATGAAGTTTCCAACAGACTTTTCAGTAGAGTCATTTCTGGGGCCTCTAGGCAGTGGGCAAATTGCTGGACACTGAACAGTTTCTTGAGGAAAATTTCAGAGAAGATGGGAAGACACTGCTCCAGCTCTATTATGTCGTCTATCTTTTATAGAGATGGGTCCGACCTGAGAAGTCTAGCCTAGACCAAATGTCCCCAGAGCTGATGGGCCGAAGGGTTTGGTTTGCTCGGTCACAGAGCAAAGGTCTAGCTGGGAAGTCCCAAATTCCTTAGCAATTGTAGGTTTTTGGATCGAAAATTTTGGTTGGGTTGGACTTCTTTTTAATGTCCTGTAAACCTCATGTGCTGCATGGGAAGTTTTCTCCACAGGAAAAGTGAACAAACCAATGCAAGTCTCTTAGACTTTTTTTCTTTTTAGCTAAAAAGAAATTATTATTAGATTTGCTGAAGTAGAAAATAAGCAAAATGTAGCTGCAGTCAGGGCCGGCTCCAGGGTTTTTGCCGCCCCAAGCAGCCCCCTCCCTCCCCAAAAAGCCGCGATCTGTGGCAATTCGGCGGGAGGTCCTTCACTTCGAGACGGAGTGAGGGACCCTCCGCCAAATTGCCGCCAAATAGCTGGACGTGCCGCCCCCCTCCGGAGTGGCCGCCCCAAGCACTTGCTTGCTAAGCTGGTGCCTGGAGCCGGCCCTGGCTACAGTGGTGTCTGACTTCCTGTTTTTTTCCTCCTTCCCGTCTTCAAGAGGCAAGACAAGGTGAAGTGGGGCTTCAGTATAGCGAAGCTTGGGAACAGTCTTCTGGTCCGTTTTCTGGGTGTGGATGCCCATCCTGCTGTTGCTGCTCCTGGTCGGCTGGGTCCAAGCGTGCCGTGCTTGTTTGTAGGCAGTGGTGCTAAATCCGAGTGTTGCCAGAGCTGGGCTGCCCGTGGGGAGCAGCACAAGTAGGACCCTGTGTTGTGAGGAGGAGGGGGTGGGAATAGGGCGGGCTCAGCGGGTTGTGGAGGGAATGGGCAGGTGAATGTAAATTGGTTGAATCGGAATTTTGCTGCCCAGCTCCAAAGTTCAGCTCACCCCAGAGTTAACATTCGAGATGGGGAGGGGAGTTTGTATCCAGTGTTTCCAGTTCAGGCCTATCTCCAATTAAAATGTTTCAGGGATTGGATCTAGAGTAATACCCATCCAGCAGGACAAGTACAGGGTGGAGACCATATTTGTGAAAATGCTTGAGGAAGGGGAAGACGAGGTTGTCTTGAATACATTGCTAGTGTTTACAAGCTGTATCCGCTGTGTACCCCAGCTGCCATTCACCTCCCTCATTTCTCTCTACCCTTCGCTTCTTCCTCTGATTATTCTCTTTGCAGCCTTAGCTTGTCTCCCTTTTCCTTTAATCCCTTTCCCTGCTTCTTTCTCTCCCCTTCTGCTTTCCTCCTCCTCTTTCTTCCTCAGTCCTTTCTGCTTCTTTCGTTCCTTCTTTCCCAGCCCTTTTCATCTCTGTATTCTGTCCCTGTCCCTGTCTCTGCTTTCAAAGTGCATTCGGGCTGGCAGCTGTCCATCGCCTCCTGAAAGCTAATGGGGTGCAGCAGACAGCCCTGTCGTTAGCTAGCGTCCTGGCAATGGGCCAAATACATATTTCAGCAGCTGGCTCACTGTAAATCGTGCCGATAGCGGGTTGGAGCCGCAATTTTCCTGGTAATCACCATTTTCTCTCCCCTTTCCCAATACATGCAACACTTGGCTCTAGAACGGCACCCTGTCCAGATCTTTATTTCATCCCTCCTCAGAAATCAATCCCTTTGTCAACGGTGGCTATTGCTCTCGAAAAGGCTGAATTATGTGTTGGCCTGGAAATTGCAGGTCTCTGCATCTGCAATCTGGCCAAACGATCATGGACTAACAAAAGCTGTGAATGCTAAATAACCACCTCCAAGAGTCGCGTCTAAAATCTCAATCGCATGCTGCTGACACCTGGGTGTTGAAACTCCGCTATCTTGGGGGCCTCTGGAGAGAGTAATGCCAAGTCTTCTGTTGATAATTCCTATAATTTAACAATCTCTCTGTTTGGTCATGGGGTTCTTACTGTAGAACTATGTTCCTCTAGTGACAGATGGGTTTAAAGGAATGGATTCCAGTGATTCGTGAATGTAAAGATGGTGTGTGCAGGACTACATAATTGGGTTTGTCTGCATTTAATACTAAAACTTGCTTTATTAATGGATTTGTCTGCAGTTCTGAAGATTGTGCATCCTTAAATCCAGCGACATTGTCCCATGCTGTATCTGTATGTTGGGTAATTTCTGAAGAGTGTGTGTGTGTGTGTGTGTGTGTGTGTGTGTGTGTGTGTGTGTGTGTGTGTGTGTGTGTTCTTCTTCTCTAC